TGGCAGCTTTAAATTTGGAGATGTCCACTCCCATTTGCTCCTGAAGGAATTTCTCCCCTTCCATCAGCGGTGGAAAAACTTCCTTCTCCATAGCCGAGCAGAAGGTTTGAATGGCTTCAGCAGCCCTCTTTTCATACTTTTCGCTCTGCTGCTGCTTCTCTTCAGCAGCCTGCTGCTTTAGCTCAGCAAGCTTCGCCTCCTCCCGAGCAATTTTTGCCTCCTCCCAGGCATGCTCCAGCTTGTCTTGGAGGGTGTCAATCAACTCTACAGTAAGAGTCTGATTGTGCACAACCTATTTGCAGGGGCACATCAGTTAAAATAAATAAAGTAATAAAAAAGGAAAGAGCCAGAAAGGAGAAGAAGTGCTGAACGAAAGCAAAGCAACTAAAAGGTTAAGTACCTGCATCAGCAAACGCTGGTTGTCTCTTGCAGGGTCAGGGACCCTTCGGCTGGATTCTCCCATCCCAGCCGTGGCCTTCAGCGACCACACCCTTTCTCGGTCCACTTCGGACATGCTAATTAAGTCGCCGAAGTAGCCTGCAGCCCCTTCACGGTTCTGGCCCCAAATTCGTTCCCAAACAAGTTATGGGACTGTGATGCGGGGGGCTGAGAAACCCAAATCTCCAGAGTTCAGCGTCTGGAATGAGGGGAAGGAAGAAGAGGGAACCTCCTGAATCTTCTCAGGCTCATCATGACCTTCTCCTTCGGCGGAGCCCAGTTGGTCTCCACCAGGGTCAGCAACAACGACCTTCTCTGCTTCATCCCCCAGATCAGGTTGACAAAGAAAAGCGTCAACCTCCCTATCAATATCATCTGAGAAGCCTTCAGCAATCGGCTTCTCAGATTCTTTAGCAGGGTGTCCCTGAACCCCCCCCCCCCTTCGGATCAGGAGTTCTTTGGTCCACCTCCATCTCTTGAGTTTTGGGAGGTGGAGGGGGGGTTTGAGGATGCAGAGCTTTCGGCGGAGGGGGAGCCCTCGGCGAGCGTCTACCTTCATCAGGCTCCCATATGAGGATGCCCCCGGTAGGCCTCATCCCCATCTGAAACTGCCAAGGCCCCAGCACGGCCAACCTCCTCCTTCTCTTTGCTAAGGGTTGCTCGTCCATTTCTTCAGATTCTGACGAAGATGGATCTTTACAACGAGCAGGCGTCTTTCCTTCTCTTCTTCCGCTCCCTTCCTCAGACTGCAGAAAGGGGGGGCAACAAAGTATGAGTAAAAAAAAAAAAAAAAAAAAAAAAAAAAAAAAAAAAAAAAAAAAAAAAACCAAGCAAGTTAGGAACTTACTGGAACCCTCGGCTGAACTCCAGGTGCAGGGATATCCCTCTCAGCAGCACCAGACGTCCCAACACCTCCTTCCAAGGAGTTGATTACTCGGGACACGTCAGCTGTTGTCTGAGCAGCATGTGCTTCCTCAGGTAATAAAGGCCGAAGGGGATCTCACTTCTCCCACCAAGGCTTCTGCTTGGTGTATTCGGCAGCGACTTCAATTTGAAGACTCGTTTCGTGCAGATGCAGCGGACGGTTCTTCGGAGCTGTGATTGCCGGAGCCCGATCTAGAATGACCTATTCGGCGTTCACCCCGAGCCGGTTATAATCAATTCCCGAGGTAGCTTCGCTCAGCTCTGAAAAGAACAGACGAAGGTTAGACTAAGGGAATAAGCATTCGGCACCAATGCCCATCCTCTTCAAAAATGTCGTATTGCAACTCAATTTGCTCGGCGAATCGGTAGGTTTCGGCATGCCGAACCCACCATGAGTATGGGGTATTTCTCACCATGGCGTCCTGGGTCGCGGCGTCCTGCCATTCAGCATGCCCAGGAAGCAGGTCCCAGAGCACAGGGGGAAAATCTTCAGCCTGCCCAGCATGTTCTCTCTGCTCAGGTTGCTCCGCCTCGCCGGCCTCGGCGTCCTGCTGAGGCGGCGCGGCGTTTAAAGGAACTGTCGGAATCCCCCTTTCCAGATCTTCACCGGCTCGTTCCCCGTTCCAAACGTCGGCGCGGTCACGGGGATCCCTAGACTGACCCCGTCGACCCGGCTGACGCCTCCTTTCTCGAGCCATAATCAAATTCAGAGAAGGAAAGAAGGGAGAAAAAGAATTTCCCTAAAAAAAGGCAAGAAAATCGAAAAAGCTCGAGGAAAATTACCTTCAAATTGGCCGGAATACGCCGGTCAAATCAGTGGAAGCGATAGATTTGAGTCTCGAACTCGGATTCGAGAATGGTACGCTGGAAATTCAAAGCGAAAATGGGTTTGCGAGAGAATTTGAGTGTATGTTGGTGAAGAAATGAGGTTGAAATGCGAATCAGCCCTTATAATTCCAGGAAGGAGAATCCCAAAGGTCGAAAAGTTCAAATTTCTCTTAAACGCCTCCTTAATTAACCGTTAAACACTCTCCCTCTTGATTAACCGCCCACTATCCACTCCACTTCCTGTTAATTATCCAAATTACAGTTATTTAATTAATAACTGTTTAAAAATTTAAATCTTTTGATTTAATTAAATCATTTACTTCCCTCCATTTCTTATTGGATTCAAACCTGACCCGTCATCCTTCCAAATCGGGTCTGGGGGGCAAGTTGTTTGGGTCCAATTTATCTAATTGGGTCTGGTCATGTATTTGGGTCCAATTATCTTATTAGTCCTGGTCACTAAATGACTCCATATTCCAAGGTCAAGGCCCGAGCCTCTAATCAAGCCAAGTCAACCAAGAGTCCTTTGGTTCAAATTGCCATGGTCAGCCCATGACTATATAAAGGCCCAATTACTCTCCTCTCATCATGTGCAAAGGTATAAAAGCCTTCAATTCATTCATTTGTAGATGACAACACAACAAAGCCTCAAGCATTAAATCTCTTGCATAACTCTCACTCTGAACACTGTTTGACTTCGGCATCGGAGGGGTCTTCCTCGGATCCACCCCCGAGGCCAGTTTACGTGTTTTAGTTGTGCAGGAAACCTTCGGCCCAGCTTCAATTGGACCGGACCAGTCTTCAGCCACTTCAGCGGGCCTTCGGCAAGGCCCCATTGTTTTCATCCGAAACATTATGGATATATTGGATAAAATAATGTAGAGATCAGTATATTGATCAAGGATTGAGTGGTTAAGGAGGCTGAGGGTAGTACTTTTTACTACTAAGAGCAAGTTTAGCCTCAAGTTTTAAGACTTGGATGTGACAACATTTTTGGTGGTCACCATTGAAAATGATGTCATCAAATTCTTGTTAAAACTCACTAAGATTTACACAAATTTATCACTTTAGCCCTAAGACTTAAATATTTGACATATTATATGCAGAAAAGTGTAATAAAAAAAAAAGGATAATAAAAATAAAAATGAAGTGGGTGAAGTGGGTCCCAATCTTGAAGAAAAATGGGTGAAGTGCTTGAGATTTTTGAAGAAAAATGGGTAAAGTCTTAAGTATAAATCTTAAGACTCAAAATGATGATGTCACTCCAAGTCTTAAGACTTGGGGCTAAACTTGCTCTAAATAGACTTATTCTCTTAACCTAAAATAAAGCGTTTTGATATAATTTGATATGGTTTGAATTTTACTGGTCCGATCTAATATGATTTGATGCAATGATTTGATTGAACTTTTACCTTATAAATTAATGAAAATCTTGTAAGATCGATCCATCAATGAAATAAGTTAAGGTTGTGTTTGGGAAGATAGATTTCATTTCAAATACATCATTTGAATTATTGAATTTGAGTATTTCAAATGACATGGTTTGCCTTGTCATTTGAAATCCTTACCTTCATGGGTTATTACTTGGTAGTTGTATAATTTGGGCAAATTCCTCATTTGAAATTCTTGGACATCCAAACACTATAATTGTCCCAATTCCGGAATTTCAAATGAAATTCTAGAATCCAAACACACCATAAAGGTAATGCGTCCTAACTTAAATCATTCAAATGTTATTGAATATCTATAATGAATAAGTTGTTTCATATTGTAAATAAAATCAAACTTTTAAAATATTACTCTATACTCCGTATGAAGAGTGGATTCATAATTAATCATCAAGGTGTTTTTGATTGTGACAATGTTAGGGCTAGGGTTTAGGATTAAGTAAGGGGTTAACCATACATGTATAATTTAACAAGGAAATTATTTTCACACTTGTAATTATTGTAATTAATACTCGTATTTATATGCGTCGATATGTGCGACAGTATAGTTGTATTGCACTACTGCTTGTACATAAAGTTTGATGCATATGAAGTAAATAAAAATATGTCAAATTGCGTTACCCAAGTCAAAAACAACAGAGAGATTCTGCAATTTTTGTTAGTATAGAGAAAACAATGTTACCCCCACACCATGTCGGCAGCAATGTAAAAACTGTATTGGAGGCTTTGGAGCACAGTTTTTTTAAAAAATTAATAATTATTTACTCCATATTTCACACTATAAGGGCAAAACACAAAAATCGTTCGATACAATGCTCATCACATTTTCAAGACAATAAAGACATCTCATCCACCTAAACGGCTTAATCCGGATTAAAATCAATGCCTAAATGGCGACACAAAATGATTTATGTCAATATTTTGATTGAATACAAAACACAATTCATTAGCTAGAGAGCCTCAAATCAAGCCACAAATAAAGACTAATGACACCGAATTAACCCAATACGGAGTAATTATCTTTACAATGATGATTAATATCAACTTTACAAGACCATAAGTCAAAAGAAGTATGAGGCACAACTTTTTCCTCTCAAATTCTAAGACAAGATTTATTCAAAAGATCTTTAATCAGATATTCATTCATTATTCAATTCCATGTTCATTTATGTAAAATTACCACACCTTTATTTTTAAGATGACTTCATCATTAGAAATGGTACCAAAATCCATAGATATGAATCATGACATTACTACTAAAACAGATCCATTTGCAGTACTGCTGACACAAAATAACTGCAATCTTGCTACACCCGCAATCCCCTTCTTTTTCTGTACAAGTTCACACTAATACGGAGTAACTCATATTAAAACCCTAATCCCAAATAAATACCAATATTTAAGTATACATCTTTCATAGTTGATTGGGTTGATCTGATGATATATTTGGGCGATCTTCAGCCTTTTTCTTGATGAATTCTGGACAACAAGAACACCCCTTTTTGGCTTTGCCTGTTCGATGAAATGCTAGATTGAATAATACTAATAAGATTACACATGAATATATCCCCTATTTTCACTACAAAGAGAGACATGTGAGGATAAGAGAAAAAAGTGCACAAACAAGGGGTAATAATAATGTGGGTTTTAATAAAGTTGAGTGTCCCATGGCTAAGCCAGCTAACCATGACCCATCTGCTAGCATAGCTGAGGTTGTAGTACCGGTTCCAGTTCCGGGTCCAGTTACCATTCCAGGTACACCATCGGAAGCTGATCCATATGCCATATCTCCTCCTGCGGGTTCAGTTGGTGTTGAGACCATTGGATCCGACCCTGACCCGGTAAAAACTGGAGGTGTCGTCATCATTGGAGTTGGGTTCATTGGAGTAGGAGTAACTGGCGTAGGAGCAGTTTCTCTTGCTGATTTTTGACTGTTGACAAATACAAACATCAATTCAATTAGACTCTACACATTACACATTACATAATGCATTGATTGAATGTTGTCAGAAATTAAACAATTTGTAAGGAAGAGTTTTCTTCATGTCCGTTAGCCTGTTACAAAAAATAGCTAATACGGGGTAGAGTATAAATTAATGACCCACATCCGACCCAAACCCAATACAAATCACTGGAAAGAAACCTGAATCCAGCAAGACCATAATTATTGTTTTGATACGATAACACGACTCAAACCCAAAACACTTGTTCTGTATTTAAACACGGATTCAACCCATTTGTCCTATTGTTAATAATTCTACTTCCAACAATTATTGGTGAGTGCATCATTTTGTGCCAACTTTAGACTTACAAAGTTACAAGCACATATAGTGTAGTCATCTTATAACATAGAGTAACACTCTCGACTTTGCAACAACTTGACTACGGAGTATTACACTATTTCTAAATTAAAAATAACTAAATTTTCATACACTATACTTCATACTTGTACTTCTTGTGAAATATTGTATGATTCGCAATACTCTATCAATTTTTTTCACTTCATATTAATACTTCTACTACATACGTGAATAATTGCTTATATTTATAATCAAACTTGTGAATTGGTATACTAATCAAACTATTGCAATTATAGTGAAACGTAATGAACATAATAACCAACAAAACAGCATTCACATTTTGCACAAATATAGGTAGTGAGTATCATATCATACCTTGGAGTAGAGGGGCAAAATGTAATGGTATAATCAGCTCCACTGCAAGTGAAAGTACTAGTAGGATCATCATAAGCATAACTATAAGACCTCGGACACGCCAACTTAAACATCTTCGAGTAAACCGTAGGCTTACACGTGGAAGGTGAACCATACGCGCCACTACAACAATACTCGGGACTCTTAAACGCCTCACACGCGCTCTTACACGCGCCGCCATTTCCTGCCTTAAGCTCAGTTGGACAAACTTGGTTCAAATCTACCACGCACCCAGTGTCGGCGCATTGACCCGACCCGCCACTAACCTCAACCAATATGGGTAAATTATACCCGTCAACCAAGCTGACGTCATAGAAGTCTTGACTACCTGTTCCTAAGGTGAACTCAGCTAGGGTTGCCGGAGGTTCGGCGCCGGCGCCATCGCACTCGACGCCGCCGGATCCGCAGTCTCCGGTTTCGCAGTAGCCAAGACCGGAGTCGGCGAAATTGCAGCCAGTTCGACCCCAGAACCGACCGGACCAACCGGTTGGGGCTTGGAATGACCGGGAAGTGCCGGTTGGGAGTTCGAAACCGGTTGATTCAAGCTTAGGTGTACCTGCATTGGCTAGGATTCCGGGCCATACTGTGTTTTCACAACTGTTGACGAATGTGAATGTTGCTCCTGAAACTCCTGTCAAATCCAAAGTTTGCAAATCGTTAAAAAGCTGGTAGAATGAGACACTGCAAAATCCGTTATACACCCGGCTGTACCATACTCAATTGAGCTTCGGAAGATAAGTTATAGTATTATAGGTACACTCGAGTGTATAATGGACACTATCGCAATATGTTGAATGGGAAAAAGTTAGCATTTTTAGTTCATTTGAAGATAAACAACTTGAAGTAATAAATCTAAGTGTAGTTAGAACTCTTAGAAGATGAAATAGGGTTAAAGTTGGTGTTTTTAGGAAGTAAATGGAAGAAATTAAAGATGACATTTTTGGTTCACTTAAACTGAGAAAATGAAAATGTACCTGTAAGATAAAGTGGTGAGATAGCAACATTGAGAATGAAGAATAACTTGAAGTATTTTAGTGGATCCATGTGTAAATCTTTGAAATAGCTCTGTTTTCCCCTGTTTTTCCTCTGTTTTTTTTCTCTGTTCAAGAAAGAGAAATGGAGGAAGAAATAGAGTGGGAAAGGGGGGAGTGAGGAAGTGGCTAATTGGGCAGAAAAATGGGGTGTTGAACACCCATAAAACAAACAAATTTACACCTCGAGTAGAGAGAGAGAGAGAAAGAGGGAGTGTCAGAGAAGAGAGTAGGGCACACTTGAGAAAATCTTATAAAATTTCATCTGCCTCTCACTCTCTCACTTTATTCCTTTTAATCAGATTTCTAATTTCATATTAATGTTTGTTTATACGAACTCATAATCATGCTACTTTAGTAGTAGAGTATAATTAATTAATAGTTAATACTTGATTTAGTTGCATCTGCCAAGAAGGTAGGGTTATATAGTGGCTTTTTTGCTCTGTCACTGTTCAGATGGGTTGGGTCATTTGTTTATTGGTTTAACCTTAACGCATTATCCCAACCCATATGGGCACCTTGTTTAACTGACTACAAGTCATACTACATAAAGAGTCCATTTGTATTGTGACTTGTAATTTTGTTGTTGGTGACCTAAAATATTTACATGACTCCAAAACATACATCCATACTTTGGGTCTTTGGGATGCATCTTTTTAGGGGGGCAAATTTACTCAAACTTCACAATTTGACCAATGCCTAGATCTAAGCTTGTTTCTTCATGTTTTATAAGCTAATACTCCATAGACCGTAGCAACTTAGAGTTAACTCTTCCTCCTTTTTTGTAACACTTTTTTTGGTGTGATTGCCTTATATCTTAAGTGAATGAGTGTCACATGTTCAAGGATGTTAATTCCTACATCATTGAGGTGGAAGCCAAAATTTTGTGGATTTTGTAGTTGGTTGTTGTGAGTACATGTACGCGTACAATGTAAATTCATATGCAGGGTATCTGTAAAACTTTTACGCCACAACTTCATTAATTACAAGCCTGTTTTAACTACTTTATACTCTGTATTAATTGTATCTAATATCTTCTACTACAATTTCATATAACATGCTCCAACAACTTTAGTAATTTCATACCTAATTTGGTGTAAGACGCTAGAGGGAGTGGTCCTTGTCGACGAATAAATAAAACAAGAGAAGAGAGAGTCGTAGAAATGACCAGATTATTGCACTACTGCAGGCTTTCAGCCTACAACTTGCGAAGAAAAGAGCTAGGGTGAATAAAGGGAGTGGCAATTTGGATCTTAAATATCTCTATCTCAAGAGGAAAAAGGTTGAGCTGTGCAAATTACTTTGATTTCAAATCCAACCAAAAATATACACCATTATTCTAAATCTCAAAGTAATTAATCATACTCAGTAGTATTTAAGGAATCAATAATGTGCTAATCAATGTCTATGACATGTTCTAGATAGTGAGCTAATAATCCTGTTAGCTTATGGATTACTCGGGAGTAGGTCACCGTTATAAGTTTTATCTAGTAATATAATGTACTACAAATTGGTGTTTAGTGTATAAAGTTTGATAATTATGAAACTTCCACCCTTCATGATATTGGGAAGTCGTTGCGTTTCATGCAATTATATACATCCACAAGTTATTATGATTAGATCATATGAGATTAAATTAATACAATCTAGTTTAATTAAGTGGTGCCAAGATATACATGCATGTGACCTCAACTTCGCATGTATAATACTGTCAATTTCTTATTATTGTTTGTCCTCTCACCTCATTTCACGTGAACGAACAAGCACAGCTAGAACAATTTTTATTTGGAATTGGGGCAACTCCATCACTTCTTCTACGTAGGCTAATTTATGGGTAGATGTAACAATATCCAATTCAACTTAGCAAATGTGCACTGAGTTGAACATTGTTTGAATACTAAAGCCATCATGTTGGCATGATCTCAAATACTCGTAGACCGTAGTACACTACAAGTCTTCAAAATTCCAATCTTTTGTATAAACGTTATTATATTTTATGTCTGAATTCTTATAACAACTCGCATTATAACTCATATGTAATACAATTACATTATTATTTGACTAGCTATCAATTATTAGTTCATTAATTAGTGAGTGTGACATGAGATATAAAATTATGGTTTAAGAAATTGTAGAAAATGAATCCAAGAACTGTTAGGTTTTGTTTAACTAGGTGATCAGGAATACTATGTGCTTAAAAAAGTGAAGAAGAGTAACTTGATTGGATCCGACCGTTGCTATGAGCCCTTTGCTAATAATGTTGTGAATATTTGACGGTTGTCTGATTTTTTTTCACATTTTTGGGGCTTATATATCAACTCATCAATATAGTGTCAACTCTGTCAAGTATTCAATCAAGTGTCAATTGTTATTCTAGAAAAACGGAATTCCAGCAGTGACAAGATGTATACGAGCACTTCATACATAATTAATGCATAATTGCAAGTATAAACAATTAGTGACTTAGGAAGTATAAATACTTGTATATTTGTTCGAAAGCAATAGGCCAATAGCACATCATCCTTTGTGATGTAAATATCCTTAGGGCCTGTTTTTGAATTACAAAACTGAATTGATTGGAGCTGAACTGAACTGAATTAAACTGCATTGAATATTTTATGAGAAAAGAAAATTAAAAACTTAACTGAATTGATTGGGTTGAAATGAAGAGAACAGACCCTTAATAAATACTCATGTATGTAGCTCTATGCGCCATGCAAAGTGGAGTGGTAGTTTTATTAGGCTTGTTCAATGTGATGTGATACCATAATAAGTTTTATGAGGCATTGGATTCTCTGTTGTATTCCCTTCATTTCCCAAATTTGAAGTGATCTATTTGAGAGATATTGAGCTAGTAAATTAGAAATTCTCAATTAAAAAAATAAAATAAAAAATAAATAATAATAATAATAATAATAATAATAATAATAATAATAATAATAATAATAATAATAATAATAAAATAGACTTTGACCTTCTCACTAGTTCATATCTCTGGTCTACAGCTCCTACTGAAACAATTGAAGGCGGGAGAAAAGCTTATTACGGAGTATAATGTGTTATAGAGGAGTAATTTTAAAAAGTTAACCCTAAAAGAAAACGGATTGTTAAGTACTATATAGTGAAGCATCTTAGTCTCAAAATGTTTTCATATTTAATGAAGTAAGTTAGTTATTGTGACCTTTTCAATCAAAAATCTCCTCAATTTAATCCAAAATTTACACAGGTAGTTCAATTTACAACTTGTATTTTAAAATGCAGGTTGCCTAATATAGTACATACTTCGTATACTACTCCGTATATGATTAATTAGCTACATATGCATGGGAAATGACATGATCATATATTGTAAAAAAAAAGCTTTTGCATGTGATAGAATTCCTCAAAATCTATATCTAGAAGAGGAGAAAAAGATCATTAATAATCAACTATAATTTCAAGAATATTTTGATAAACTCATTAGATTAGAATAATTTAATCATATCATAGATTTAATTAGTAAAGTATGTATATAGCTAAATATCTTTCTACGCCACTTTAGAAGGAGGACCAAACAAAATTTAATACCAAAACTTTGTTCAACAAAGAAGTTCAGCTTTTCCAGTGATAAAGGAAAGAGATAAAGATGTTAGTACAACACATTGATCGACAGATTCCCTCCCGCATTAAAGCAATGCTAATTTTTGCAATACAAGATGAATGTCAAACATCAATTTAGGAAAAGTATGTTAAATTATTTTGCAACCAACACTTTCGCTAATCTGAGCTAGATAATATTATATGCTTTCCTTCGTAAATTTCATACAACCAATGTAAGATTTTTCTTAATCGATAAAAACATAATTTCAGCCCGTACAAATTCGACATAACATGTTAGTATCACATTCATTTATTAAGGAGTACATATATGCAAACGTTTAAATGGACTGTTAAAGTTTTTTTTTTTTCCTTTATGCAAAGTTTGTATAAAGTAAAGCTAATAACTAGTTTTTACTGTGTAATTGTATATAGTGTAACATGCATAATGGTAAATTTAAAAGTATAGATTGAGCAATAATAATGGTGAAGCTAGGGTGTCCCATGCAGAATTCCAAATGTGTGGAATGCAGAATGCTTGACGATCAACTCAAGCACACAAAACCTGTAACGTATTGGACCCATTCACGTTATAATGTTACTACGGTGGCTTAACTTTATTTTCATGGATTAAACTCTCATAAACCACATAACAAAAAAGGAGGAAAGAAAAATTAACTTTAGAAGATCCTTATTCCTTCCCACGTGAACATGCATACTTGTTGGATTTAGTTTATGTTTACAGAACACACCACTAGAACCAATAATGATGCAAATAGTTAAGGAATAACTTTCATTTTGATGTCATAAACCAAGAATAGATTTTAGTTTATTTAACTTTCTTGTAATGTGTTCTAAAAAAAAAAAAAAAAAAACTTTCTTGTAATGTCTATGTTAACCTTTTTCTCACTTGCTTTGAAATTATTTGAATTTAGAACAAATAAATTAAGACGGACGAAGTAGTTATACAAAGTGCTCCATAGGTGATAGGTTTAAAATTAGGGATCTCAATTTCATTTTCCTCCATTTGTTTTCAATTCAAATACTCTATTAACCATTAAAAAAAAATTAGGAAAAATAAAGAGAAGGAAAAAAATTGTCTTGGAGGAAGCGCTCCACTTTGTTGAATTTGCAGTATTGCTTTTGCTACATCTTAAAACCAGCCTTTTACGCAATAAATCATGTTATTTTATGGGCATCTTTTCCTCTAAGGTAGGGTCACATTATCTTTCTTTTCTACATTTGGGTCCAGTTTATTCTTGCTTCTTTTCCAAATTGGGGCCATATGTTCTTGAGTTTGTCATCAACTATGTTAAACTACCCCTAAAATGGCTTTGGTTACAACTCTTACAGGTAGCATTTGGGCCATTGGCATCACGCACACTCAATTTGGGCCACGCCGGTTATAAACCGAGAAAAACAGATTATATTTTCATTTTTACAGTTAAGATGCTACCATGAGTATATATTTTTTTTTTCCTTGAGTAGGAAGAAGTTGTTTTGGTTGCTTATCAGAAAATTGTCCATAGAAATGGAATTCGCGGTCACAGGCTCATAGCAAATCAACCAAATGGAATCATGTTTTAAGCGTACAACCAACGACAAATCACAGCTCAAGTGTTCGATTTTGAGTCATAACCGAAGCTCCATCGCTAGTTTATCTGGAAGTAAAGCATCAAGTTATCTGGCCACAAAATTCAACTTGTAATAAGATTTTAGTACAATCACAAGCTTTGACAGCATTTAAGATCAGCTGGGGAAGAACCCCAACAGTAAAAGTTCTTCGAGGAATGGATATCTTTGCTGACATTGTTGAGCACAACATGGAATTACATTCTGTCAAAAACTAAAATATGCTCCTTAAATGAGCCGCCTATGGCAAGGGGGAAAAATGATATATACAGTTTCATTTGAGCAGTATTTCAGATTATACATGACATTGAATTGTTCATCTTTTCCAAGCATGTTTGAGCCAGGAACTCGGAGAGGAGGGCATTGAAGAGGGATGGTAAAAGGTGAAAGGAAATGGGTAAAACAATGGGGTCGAAAGACGACACCCACTTCTCTTCACTACCGGCCTGGAAAAATCCCATCAGTGTTAGTAAACAAGAATGAGATTCCAGAAAACAAAACGTACAACTACTATCAAGGTGCCAGCAATAAGTAGAGGAATAGTCGGACCTGAGGATACTTTGCTGCCTCTTGAATGCAAGTACATCATTGTTTTGTTCACCAATGGTAGTTCACCTGCCATTACTCTTCGTTTACCCAGCAATTTTAAGCTACAAAAATTTGTCACAGTTTTATTGTGAGAAGCAGCCATTACCAAATGCATCAGATCTTCATAGATATATTGTGTTGGGGGGAAAGCACAGTTAGCATGCAATCACAAAATATAGGTGTATTAGTTAAAAAAATTCCGAAGCTGTGCGTAGTTTAACTAATGAACCACCCTAACTGCAGTGTAACAATCTAGATCAATTGGTATGCGCATCATACAATAAATATATTGGAAAGGCAGAAGTAAATTAGTAAAATATTAGGGGAAACAATAATATGTAACATATCAGAGTTGACAAAGCTGATCTGTTTCCCAAACAAACAAAGATAATTTAAGAGTGACAATAGGATGCAGATCAAAGTGGTCGTATGCTGCAAGTACTTTAATTTAGACTTCAACAGATTCATTAAGTTGTATAAAGTATAAACAAGTGAAATTCCTAAGGTCTCAAAGGTGGACCAATTAATTAAAAGACTAATCAAGCACTTCACCCAGTAAACTTCAGCATTCTCTGAGCTGTTTAATGCCAAATCAAATCCAAAATTTAACTGATGCAATCTAACATCCAAATTAGATGACACATACTGTTGGCTAAAGCCTTTTCACAAGACATAATTCGAACACAAAATTTACAGATATCAGCCTATCATATCTTTGAATATTACTCCTCCAACCCATGATATATTTCACAGTTGGAATTAGAATGGAGACTCAGAAAGATTGTCAAGTGTTAAAGCTCCATGGTAAAGTGGCCAAGCTGTCAATGTAACACATTAAATCCTCTGATCAAGAGAGAAAATTTCCACTGATTGCTTGACCATTGGCATATAATGTGTATACCTATCCTAAGAAAAGCTGGTGGCCTAAGAACTATATTGGATTGTAGCAGAGGTATCTACGCGTATGAGGAGCCCTCTTTCTACTTGAAGAAATGACCTATTACTTCCCATCCTGTTTCTGCTCATATCAGCAACTTAGAATTAGATTAATTTAGTAGCGAAGCAGCAGTTTCATGGCTGATGACTCAGGAAGATATTGCCATCACTCAGATGAATGGGAATATGTGATACAGTTTCTAAGGGTCATAGAATTCTAAAAGATGAGCAATCAAAGGAAATTTTCATATGTTTGCAATTGAAATCAGCTTCTTTTGCTCTAGTGCATGAAGGATTGATATCATATTAATTTCAACTTCACCTTCTCTTCGTGAGTTGCAACAGGAGATGCATATTGCAGGGGTTGGAAAAACACTATCCTAATCAGTTTGTAAGTGTCAAGATAAAGAAAGGGGTTTGAGTGTTTTATTATAATTTCAGACTTTCAGTAAAAGCAAACAATGTATAGATCCCCCCCCCCCCACCTTTTTTTGGTCGCCTAGGTGAGATCTCGATTTTGTTCTTCCTGCTGCAAGATCAAATATGTTCATCTGCATCCTTTTCAGAAGCTGTTAGTTTTAGCATCCAGATTTTACCTAGGCCCTAAAGTAAGTTGGAGAGACTACTTTAGAGCTTTTTAAGAGCAATAATACTCTATTGAATCCCTCTCACCTGATAAAAAAGAAAAAGACCATATTTGTGGAGATTTTGAATAACATGTGAAACATAACAGTGATACTATCACTTAAGGAATTTCATGAAGACTATCAAAAGTGGTGAAAATATCTCAGGTTAAACCAATAGGAATAATTACAGAGCACTAAGAATTCAGCCTCAATGACAAGTTTGGCCTTAAAGAAGGCAGTGACAAATACTGAAATACTTGCATATGCTATCTAACGAGATAATTTTAGTGATATGGGGAAGGCTTATACGCTTAGTGCCTAAAAGTGATGATCAAAATAATATTTCAGCAAGGTTTTTTCATTAGTACAGGACTACAGGCTCTATCTGATATCAGCAATCATGCAGCTCTCTGTCGTAACAAAATAACACTGCTAGTGTAAGCAAGCATCCACCGGCCACCCACTACCTGTCTATCTTTACTACCTTTCCTCCTTTAGTTTACCAACCCATTATTCTTATTTCTATCTTCTTTATGAGTCAAAAGCTCATTCATCATTAGACTACAAATACTAATAGCAAATGGAGGCTTCACAAAAAACAACTAAATATTCTAAACTTGATTAGAAAGCAAATGTAATCTAGAAAATTAACATTCATTTTAAGGCAAGAGGACCACTACGGTGATGTAACTGATGATCAGTGGAGTCTTCTTCCTCTACTACTGAGACTGACCGACCTGGTAAGTTTGAACATTCTCTCCTCTTAACGTGTTAATGTTATTACCTTGCCGCCATTACATCATTTTACTTCTTCGTGATATAAGTTACACGGCCTAACTCCGGTTAACATCAAGGATCTACTTGAATTCACCCAGGAGAAGTCTATATTGTTGTCCAAGCGACAGGGGGGTTCGATTCTCATTGGGAAGGTTATGTACTTACAGACAGATTGCATTCTAGGGCGCTGTAGGAAGTCGCTATACACTACACACACATATAAGCCACTTCATACTTGGTACCAACGTCCACATTGATATGCCAACTCACAAATATGGTTCAGCAAACCCAAGTGGACTGCCACCACACTTACTAACTATCCTAAACTGACCCCAACAAGCAACCACATGAATTATTAGCACATTTTCAATCACTAATATCTTTCCCTTCACAAATCATAATTGTCATCATTTTAAATCAATTACAAGCAGCTCACATCAACTTAATAATACACATCAAACCAACTCAACCAACCAATCACAATTATCAACTACGGATTAACTTATTTAGTTGGTTAAAGTTTTGCGACGACTTAACATCAAATAAAGTAAAAAAAAACTTAACACCTAAGCAAACCAATAATACATGAACAAGAAGAATTTGAAAAGCAAAAGCAAGAAAAGAAAACCTAATTACCTTGTATAAGGAGGCGGGCAAAAGACGATAATATAATCAGCATTTCCGCAAGTGAAAGTACTCGTCTTATCATCATACGCGTAGCTATACGCGCGTGGGCAAGCCTCCTTGAAAAACACCGAGTACACCGACGGCGGACACGTGTCAGGCGTATTATACCCTTCACTACAACAATACCGTGGGTCCCCAAACGCTTCACACGCGCTTTTACACGCGACTGCAGTTTTCGACCTCACTTTCACACTCCCATTTCCACGCGCCGCCGCAACACTGAGCTCTCTAGGACACGCGCGGTTAATATCGACGAGACATCCGGTAGGGCTGCAATCGCCTCCGCGGCCGCCACGTGGCACTACGAGTACAGGAAGGTTGTAACCGTCAACGAGGCTGACGTCATAGAAGTCAAGACCACCGGCGCCGTTGAGAGTAAACTCAGCTAAGGTTGCCGGAGGAATAGCGCCGGCGCCGGAGCATTCCAGTTTACCGGAGGCGCAATCTCCGGTTAAACAAACCATTTTTCCGGCGGAGGGATCGCCGGAGCAGAGGGTTCGGGCCCAAAGTCGACCCGACCAGGATCTTGGGAAATGGAAGGTGCGGGATTTTCCGGCAGAGAGAGAGAATCCGGTGGTCGGAAGAGGAGGGGAGTTAGCGCCGGAGAGTAAGCCCGGCCAAACTGTGTGTCTACACTTGTTTACTAGTCGGAATTTGGCAGCAGAAATTGTTTGGGAGGAGAGAGAAAGGAAGAAGATGAAGAAGAAGACGAAGATGTTAGCCATTGAAAGAGGGGGATGAAGTAGTTTGCCGGGAAAAAAAAAGAAGATTTTGTAAAAAAGAATGATGAAGGAATTAAAGCTAGTTTTCCACTTGACTAATGTTTATTTCTGGTTTGTTCTTTTGATTAATTGCTTTTGGGTTCTTGAATCTTTTACCTGTTTCTTCTTTCTTTAGCTTTAATTTCCTTTTTTTTTATCATCTTTTCTTTAACCAGATTTATTTCAGAACTTATTGGTTTGATCTTGATTTAGGTAAATTCTTGTATTAGACGGTTAAGAATGAAGTAATAATTGCATTAAGATGAATTTTTTTATTGATCACTTGATTCTTTAATTTTGTAGAATTTGGTAATTACACTCGCTTCACTATACTAGTCAACAGAAGTCCAAGTCCTTCCCAAAGCAAGATTCACACTACGTTATTTTTAAGTCATATGATTGATTTTTTACAGTTGAAAAGTCATTTAAGTGGTCCATTATAGGGAGTACTAATGTAAAATTAAGTTTATCTAACTTGATTAGCTTATTATTTTCCTTTTGGATATTTGCTTCAAACATTTTAAAATTTTTGGAAAGGTTATTTTGAGGATTTGAGGGAGATTATAAATTCGTACTTGAAAACATGCTGACATACGAGTAATTGAGTACTCAATAAATAGAGTGATGGACAATTAAATATCCAACATTGAGTATAAAATTGTACAATAGGCAAATCATCAAACAACTACACAATAATATAACCAAAATTTATAATTGAAGGTTGGATGTTGATAACATTGAAAAGATTAGTGATGCAACTACGAGCATGTGTCTGATTTACTAAATTGAGCTGAGCTGAACTGAACTGAATTGTTTATGAGATAAGGAAATTAGGAACTAAACTGAACTAAATAGAAAATAAGCTAAATAGAACAGGTCCTACAAGTCAAATACAGTTGGTTAGTCATGAGAGATTACAATGAAATATAAAGCAATTGTATAGAAGAGTAGGAGCCCTTTAGACTAATAAAACTTAGAGATATACATAAATAGACTTGAACACATACTCCATAGTGCATATAGCTAGGAGGGAGAGAAAATGAAGTCTAACACATTAAAGTTCATGCACATGTGTTATTTTCTAAAAACAAAAGGTAGTAAGAAAAATAAATATTTGACTTCTTCATGAGGGGAAGTTTTAATGTATCGTTAAAAAATATTAACAAAGATAAAACAATTACAAAAATATTGCATGATTTTTAGATGATCTATTGCTCATTTTTTTTTTTCTTTATCGATATGATAAATGATAATCCACGTGTACAAGCATCATCACCGAAATTGATTTTGACCCCTCAAATATTGATTTTACCACACCTTTTTGTGAGTAAAGTATAGAAAAATTTGTACTCTCATAATGGGTGTGCCAAAACAATATTTGGTGTGCCAAAATCATTTCTTCATAATCAAGTATGAATAGATAATAGCGATCTTTAATTAAACCATGTTTCAAGAGAAATTAAGTTATGATGAATACATTTTTCATTTATCGGATTTGTGCCCCTCTATACAAGATTGGTGTTATTTTAGTAAGACTCATCATTCTAGAGACTAAAGCCAATATGGCAATATTCCTTAGAACTGTGCTTCATGTATCAAATGCATGTTACTTAGCCCTCCTTATTATAGAACAAAAGAATTTATGTAATCAACTTTGATTACTTCTGCTTACACAAGCTGTTGGGCTAGAAGCGAGAGTAGAGGTATGCAAATTGTAAGCAGTAACAGAACAAAAGAATATGCAAATTTGCCACTAACTTTGATCACAAGCTGTTGGGCTAGAAGCTTATAACTCTATAAGTATGCAGTAAGCCAGTAAGTTTTGATTGGTTGAAAATAAATAGGCCAGTATTTGGATCACAGAACTGGGCCACTGAAGTCCTGTGCTGTCTGAATGTGCAAAACAAGTCAGGCCCATATCAGATCCACCTCCAAAGTCCAAATGGGAGGAGCCAAAATATTAAAGTAGAACTAAAAACAGGGGCGTTCCGAGAATCGAACTCGGGACCTCTTGCACCCAAAGCATTTCTTTTTTGTTTGATGAAAAATTACATTTCTTTTTCTTTTTCTTTTCTTGGATTCTGCCTATTTGTTACTCCCTTCGTTTCACTTTGTTATTATTTTGGGGGTGAATAATTTTCATAATATGTGAATACTTAATGTAATTGGGTATTTGGGTGTTTAAAGAGTCACATGATTCTGATTGCTGATTGATTAATATATGTGCTAGTGGATTGCTGACATGACTAATTTTTCCAATCAATATTTATTATAACTGATTAAATTACAACCAATTCCGGTAATAGAACAGGAAAAGACAAAACATTATTTACAAAGATGCAATCAAATTCCAAATTACTAGAATTCCTCTTTTTTTTTAAAGCAATAGATTTCAAAGGGGACTGACAATGTGAAACGGATGGAGTATTTATTTTAGTGGGATTTCAATATAATCTTGACTAATACTTTATTTTCCTAATTAAAAAAAAAAAAAAAGGTGCATGTACTAAATTTTTTGCAAATTGTTAAGCTCACATGTAATTATAAGACAGAGGACAAGCATTTGATTGAAATTAAGAGCACAAACATGAAACATGGAAGCCCTTAGAAAAAGGGCAAAGCATGATGGTGTGTTCATAGCCTCAAAATTGACTTTTTATTATCCATACTCAATAAATAATAATGCTGCTACCATCTGTAAACACAGATATGTTAATGGAGCTGACCACCAATCAATGCATAAGTAACGAGTGAACGAACAAGCAAAAAGTGTTAACGAATAGATTACAACAATAAAGATTTGGAAAATTGACGACCCACATTTTTAGTAACTTCATCATCATCTTTAAGTCAAATGTTTCCAAAGTCCAAATGTTTCTTCATGTTGTTTGCTCTAAAGCAAAAGTTTATCTTTGATCTCAATCATTATTAGAACAATTATGTTTCACACTATATCTAGAACCAAAACTTTTGATCTTAAAAGGTTGTTTGAACAAGGTGTACTGTGCCAAACAAATCGATGTGTATTTGATTTTAAGTCTTATTTGAGTGATGAGTCATTATGTTTAAGACTCAAGACACATTTGGAATGGGAAATTGTCAATCACCTACTTATGATAAAATGATAAATGATTAGCAAAATGGTCACGTTAATATATTATTGGCATAAGGCATATGATTCAGGTACGTACAACGATAAGCTTTGTTTTTCTTAGCTTAGATGTCATATTCCTGTTAAAATGAAAAAGATATACTTCATATATATAGCATCAAATTCAAACTAGATTAGTAGAAAGATTCCGACCACACCAAACTTAAAATAAAAATAATCCTAGAACACATTAAATAAGGTGAAGAGAACATAGATATAATAGGTAGTGGAGCTTTATTTGGATAGTTTGTGAGGCATAATTGGAACATCTTATCAATACTCAATTAAGTAAATATATATCGGAGTGGACTATTAGTCATCAGTCATCACACCTTCAATCCATCATCATAGCCCATTGATCAAATTATATATCAAAGGCTTATAACTGTTATAGTTGTTACCCTTTATTTATAATGTCCTTGCATGTATGTATGATAGATGTGTTGGTTGCTCATCATGATCAACTTTAACGTGATACACAACAACATGCTTTTTTTTCAAAGATTTGCGAGCAATTTAACTATGGTGTGGGCGCCTCCATGGCATGCTTATTTTTCAGAGCAGCAAAACATAATAAACATTGCTTGTCGATTTATTTCATCATATCATATGAACTAAGTTAACTTTTGTGCATCCAAGGAAATTCAGTGGGTCAGAGTTAAATACCCTCATCATAAATTTACTCCAAATACGTATCAAATCAAGTAACTTAGGCAATCAAGTTTTACTGTTAGTGTATAAAATTCAATCATAGAGTTTCAACGCACTATCCATAAGATTAACCTTTTAACTGACTTGGTCATCAATTGACAGATATATAATAAAATAAAATAAAAAAAAAAACCATGACCATTAATTCAAAATTATATACTCCGTATGAATAGAGCTGTCAAAAGTTGACCCGACCTGAAATACCGACTCAAACCCGATTATTAACCCACCCATCTGAACCCGAAGAAATGGTGACCCAAACCCGATCTAAAACCAACCCTAAACCCGAGTTGACCCAAGTATGTGAGACTCGAATCCGAACATGAACTGACCTGGAGATGACCCGACCCGGATGTAACCCGTAAATTATTGACCTGAACCGAACACGACTTTAACCGAAATTTGCCCAAATTCGTTTTAACCCGTCAAAACCCGAATTTAACCCAACTTGTTACTAACCTGACTTGAATTCAACTCGACCCGTTCCTAACCCAACCCGAATTTAACCCAACCTATTACAAACCCGACCCGAAATCAACCCGACATGTTATTAACCTGACCTAATTCAACCCGACTTGTTTACCATGGTCCCTAATACCCCTCCAGAGTCCAATTGGGTGGGTGGAACCATCCAATTTGCCTTTAACACCAATTTGATGGTTTACAACTTTCACTGATTTCATTAACTCAAGCCTACTACGAACATTTATGACAACAAATAATGATTAATGGTCGTATATGGTTCCAAACGACATTATATGACCCCGAGATGTATTCCCTAGAATTTCAAAACTTTTAGACACCGGGCCCCGAAGACTCCAAAATTCTCAAAAAGCGTGGATATTCGCCTTCAATTTTTGAATTTTTTGACTTTTTTCCGCCCGAAAATAAAAATTACCGAAATGTTTAACATGGTCCATAATACCCTCCCGGAGTCCAATTGGGTAGGTGAAAGAATCCATTTGCCTTTAAACGACCAATTTACCGGTTTACAACTTGCATCAATTTCATTAACTCAAGTCTACCACAAACATTTATAACAACAAATAATGATCATATATGGTTCCAAACGGCATTATATGACCCCGAAATATATCCCCTATAATTTCAAGACTTTTCGAGATCGGGCCCCGAAACCTCCTTTCTCAAAAATTATGGATATTAGCCTTCAATTTTGGAATTTTTTTACTTTTTTTTGTCCGGAAAAAAAATTGCCGAAATGTTTACCATTATCCCTAATATCCTCTGGGAGTCCAATTGCGTGGGTGGAACCATCCAATTTGCCTTTAAACGGCCTATTTACCGGTTTATAACTTGCACATATTTCATTAACTCAAGCCTACCACGAACATTTATAACAACATAAAATGATCATATATGGTTCCAAACCGCATTATATGACCCTGAGATA